TTAAGCAAAATGTCTTTGATTTCTTCCATGCTGGCAAAAAAATGTAGTGGAAAGTATGAAAGTACTTGTTTTGTCTTGGTTTTGCTGCATATTATACCTTTATGACCTTGTACAAGTCCTCTGATGGTTATTTTTTGTTTCTTCTTAAAAAATAAAATCATTTCAACTCTTTGGATTTTAAAGATAAAATGAAAAGTCTTGGTTGCAAAAAGCTTACTAATGTTTGTTATTGGTAGCAATGTGATAACTTTTAGCTACCATCTAAAAAAAATTAGGCCAAAACTAGATGTTCTCAGAGGTGTCTTTTACCAGTAAAATTTCTATTTTAAATTCTTCTGGCAAAAATATGTGAAAAATGTGTTTTAATAGCATTGATCTGAAATCATATAGGGATAATAGTTAAATATTTTAAGTATCCTTGATTACTGTTGGCCATATTTTCTATTTTCACTAACTTGGAAGTGTAGTTAAGACTCATACTTGCTTAATTTTAAGATTCATGAAAGAAAAATACAGGTTAAAATTTCGTAAAGTGTTGTTCGCAACGATCCTACAGGTTTAAAAATAAATTTTCATAGTTCTGTGAACTCTTTAAAATTATATGTAAAAATGTTAGTGGGCTTGAATTAGAATGAAAATTTTAACTCTTATAGTAAGCAAGACAGACTAAAAGTCCCTGCCATTATGTTGTTTTGGTGTTGTTAAGTGCCGTCAAGTCGTCAGTGACTAATCCAGGTTCATAGGGTTTCCGGAGGCAAGTGTTCTACGGAAGTGGACCTGTCATAGAATTTATATTCTCATGTTGTTCTTGTTGTTTGCCTTCGAGTCGAGCACGACTCATAGTGACCCTATGAACGAAAGGCCCGAAGCCTCTCTGCAACTATCGACATTTAACAAAGTTCATAGAGTTTCCTGAGGCATGTTATTTATGAAGTGGATGCCACTTCTGCTTCCAAACTTGTCATAGTATGTATTATTGTTGTTTTGTGCCATTGAATCACCTGTGGTGTATAGCGACCCTGTGTACAGCAGCTCTGAACCCTTCCCTGTCCTGAGCCAGTCTCACTAATTCTGACACACCAATCCACTTTGCCCCAGTTACTGTATCAATATATCTCATCTAGGGTATCCCTCTCCTGTGCACTGTCCGTCCGCTCTTCCGAGCATGACGTCCTTCTCTAAGGACCAATCTCTCCTGGCCACGTGCCCAAAGTAAGTGGGGCAGAGCTTCAAAATCCTAGCCTCCAAGGAGAGACGTGGTTTCACCCTCTCCAAGACACAGCTGTTTGTTTTCTTGGCATTCATGGTGTGTTCAAGACTCTTCTCCAGCACCACAACTTGAAGGCATCAGCTCTTTTTCTGTCATCTTTAGTCACTGTCCAACTCTGAAGCATGTCATTGAGAAGACCATGACCTGGATTAGGTGCATCTTTGTTTCTAGACTGACATTGTTGTTCTTCAGCACTCTAGAGAGGTCCATTACAGCACATTTTCCCAATGCAGTTTGTCTTTTGATTTCCTGACTGCTAGTGTTAAAAGAGTGTTGATTGTGGATCCAAGCAAGCTGTGATTGCTAACAACCTCAATCTCATCTCTATCTATCATGGTGCTACCAGTTGGCCCAGTGGTGAGAATCTTTGTCTTTCTGGTGTTGAGCTTCAATCCATATTGAAGACTACAGTCCTTGACATTTTACAGCAAGTGCTTCAGGTCTTGTTCAGTTTCAGCTTCAGCAAGCAGGGTTGTGTCATCTGCATATCGTAGGTTGTTAATGAGTCACTGGATGAGATTCATACTTATGCCATTTCCAAGCAAAGAAGATAATACAGCAGAATAAGAAATTTATGTTTTATAAAATTAATCACCATTGGGCCTTGCCCCTCATTACCCTGTCATTTTGTCTGGATCCTTCCCCTTTCCTTGCTGCCTCTCCCTCTACCCAACAAACTGTGCAACCTTGTGGTTTCACCTGTACCTTTCTCCACCCCTCCACGTCCCTCCTCCCCTTGAGTTCCCATACATGTTTTAATAGTTATCCTTCTATTTTTACAATCATGTATACAATGTACATGAACTTTGTAAGCAAACCAATAAAAAAAAGAAATTTATGGACATTAATATTATATGCAAGTAAAATCTTGAAGATAAATCAGAAACAGTTGCTAGCAGTTACATCATCAAGAGACTGCCAGAAATTAAATTTAATACATTTTGAGGAGGGATACCATTACTGACATCAGATGAATCTTGCCTGAAAGCAGAGAAGACCAGAAAAATATTTACTTGGTGTTGTTTTTTGATTCTTTTTATTCTCCCTCTTCCTTCCCATACAAAAGTATTCTATGGATGACATTGAGAAGAACAGGATTTCCAGAAGAGTTAATTGTGTTCATGAAGAATATGTATGTAGGCCAAGAGGCAGTTTTGCTAACAGAATAAAGTTACAGAATAAAGTAACAGAATAAACTGCCAAGTTGAAAATCAGGGAAGTGTTCGTCAGGTCCATTAACCTTATTTATTCAGTCTATATATTGAACAAATAATGGGAGAAGCTGAACTACGTGGCGAAAGTTTGGCATTATAACTGAAGGAAGACTCATTTAAAAACCTGTGATGTGCAAGTGCCAAAAACTTGCTGAAAATGAGGAAAACTTGAATTACTGATCAGGCTTAAAGGACTGAAATCTTTAATATAGATTACACTTCAGCATGAAACAAAAATCCTTACAGGTATGGCCAGTTAGCAGTATCATGATAAATGGATAAAATATTGAGATTTTTCAAGGGTTTCATTTTAATTGGACCCACAATCCAAACCCATGGAAGTAGCAGTCAAAATCAACACATTACAGCAGGCGTATCTGCTGCAAAGGATCTCTTTAAGTGTCAACTGTATCTACTGTAAAACATGGTGTGGCCCAGTGGTAAGGAGTTGTGCTGCCATCCCAGAGGTGCACAGTACGAATCCACCAGCTGTTCCATAGAAGAAAGATGGGCATTCTCCTCCTGCATTGATTTACTGCTACTGAAAACCCATTGGAGGGTCAGTCAGGTCTGGGTCAGTTCCCTGACATGTATATAAAAGCTGAACAATGAATAAGAAAGACAGGAACTGATTGATGCCTTTGAATTATGATATTAGTGAAGAATGCGAAATATACCGTGGATATCCAGAAAAACAAACAAATCTGCTTTGGAAGACATGCTCTTCAGGTTGCTCTTCAGAAGAATAAAGAATGAGATTTCTTTCCTTTTTATGTACTTTGGACTTGTTTTCAGGAGAGTCTAGTCCCTGGAGGACATCATGCTTGTTATAGTAGAAAGTCAGAGAAAAAGAGGAAGACCCTGAGCAGGATGCATTGACACAGTGACTGTGACATTGAGTACCCCACAGCAGATAGACTGTAAAATGAGAATATCATCTGAATAGCTGCGGAGTTGTATGGTGATGAAAAATGGATTGAAGTGATAGCAATAATAACAAATTGTATAGCTTAGGACATTATAAATCATAGCAAGAAGTGTGGGATTTTTCTGAATATAATGGGTAGCCATTTCAGAGTTTTAAGCTAGTTAATAATCTAGAAAGGAGATCCAAGATAGAGCTGGGACAATGCCAGCATTTAAAAGTTTAAGAAAGCAGAATAACCAATGATAAGAGACAGGTAAGAGGAATGAAGTTCTTGGACACTTTCAAGAAGTTCTAAGTGATTTCATATCTTGCTGATCAAGTCAGATTAGAATCATAACCTGCCTTTTACATTTGACAGGTTTGGTAGTTCTAAAGTATCAGGGAGTAGTTTTGTGACATTGGTTTCGACCAACTCCAGTACTTTGTGTAGTTTTTTCTAATAAAACCATTTCCTTATATTTAACCTCCAATTTGTGGGTAGTAATACAGTTAAGAGTTTGAGATGTTGAGCCAGAATGGTCAGATTAATATGTCAGCTCTTAAGGCTTTTTTGTTTACTTAGGTTCTCTTTTATCTATAAAGCAGGGAAGCAATAATCAGAAAACCAAGCCAGTTGCTGTAAATAGAATTTTCATGGGTGTGACCTTTCAGAAGCAGAGCCCATCTTCTGAGGTAGCTCTTTTATGGGTTCCTGTTGTGCCATTCTGTTAGTAGCTGCACAATTAATACCACCCCAGAGACCAGAATGTTGTGTGCCAGTGAGTCAGTTGGGCAAAATATACAGGAACATCTTGCCAGTTCTTTTTTCTTGTGGAATACCTGTTAGTTTCAGACTATCAGCATCTGAGTTCTTAACTATTGTGCCACCAGTGCTCCAAACCTTTTTTAGTTTTACTCTGGGTAAGAAATTTAACAGAGCATTTGGTGAATAGCTTTGTTAACAATACAGGTTAATTATGTACTATAAAATATTTGTGTTTCTTCTCATACTGATTTTTTTAATGCTTTTGAGTTTTATCTTTACATTATGATTAACACATTTTAAATTCTTTATGAAATAATGCTTAAAATCTTTGGAATCGGGATTCATACAGGGTCATACTCTTCTTAGGCACTAAGCTCTGGTGGTTTTATGGCAAGAAGCTGTGCTGCAGTCCCAAAGGCACACAGTTCGAGGCCACCAGCAGCTCTGCAGGAGAAGGATGAGCCCTCTTCCCGTGCAATAAACTGCCTCTGAAAACCTGCTGGAGGGTCAGCTATGAGTTGGTTCTGACTCAAAAGAACACAATGACAATATTAATTTATGGTAATCTATAGAAAGTTTCATATGGATGTTACTTCATCAATATTAATATGGAATGAAAGGCTGTTAATGAGACTGGATACATAGTTCTTTTTCACCAGTTCAATAGTCAACCTTTTTCTTTATTTTTCAGGTTATATTTCACACTATGTGCTGACTGTATCTACAGAAGATATTTAAAATAAAATTTTAAAAAGACAAACTTTTTTCAAAGATTTTGATTCCAGTGGAATCTTTGCTTTAGATTTTTTTTGCCTGTGTTAGTAAATTGTAACTCCAGAAGCAATGCCTGTACAAGCTCCACAATGGACGGATTTTCTCTCCTGCCCAATTTGCACTCAGACTTTCGACGAAACAATTCGAAAGCCAATCAGTTTGGGCTGTGGCCATACTGTCTGCAAGATGTGCCTAAATAAACTCCATCGCAAGGCTTGCCCATTTGACCAGACCACTATCAATACAGACATCGAGCTCCTCCCTGTGAACTCAGCATTGCTACAGCTAGTGGGTGCTCAGGTAAGAAGAGTGATTTAATACTTTGCAGGGAGGGAGGGAAAGAGAGAGAGAAAGAGAGTGTGTGTGTGTGTTCGCTCCTGAGATAAACCTGTTGAATTAAAAATTGGCTAACATTGCTTTTTCTTTAAGTTAGCATTATTCTATTCTTGAGCATCATGCAGATTGTGAAGATGGTGCAGGATAGGGCAGGGTTCTATTCCGTTGTTCTTAGGGTCACTTTGAATCTGGTTGACTTAACAGCACCTAACAATAGCAATTGCTAGATGCTGTACACATTCAGTCATGGTTTACTAACATTCATTTTATCTGTTGGTCAGTTTTAGGAGTCCTGGTCACTTTGAATTAGACAATCATATGATGTTTTATGCTGAGAATAAAAAACAGGGAAAATGGTATTGCATTCCTAGTCAAAAAGACAATTTTAAGATCTATCCTAAAAGACAGTATTGTGAGTGATAGCATACTATCCATACACATACAAGGAAAACCTGTTAATATGACTATTATCCAAATGTACCAAAAACTGAAGCCAAAAAGAAGGACATTGAGAATATCTACCAATTTTTGCAGTCCAAAATGGGCTAAACGTGCAGCCAAGGTGCATTAATCATATGAATGGCTGGATTGAAAAATTTGGAAACAATGATGAAGGAAAGGAGTTAGAAAGTATGATCTTGGTGACAGCAGTGAGGCTGGGCAGAAAATAATTGATTCTGTCTTTTCATAATTTAGTCATTGCAAATGCCTTTTCTTAGAAACCCAAAAGGCGACTTTCACATAGTCTTCACCTAATGGTGAATCAGATTGACTAAATCTGTGGAAGGAATCATCAAAAAAACTCAGTATCAAGCAATCAAAACACTAGGGGCTGACTATGGAACCAGCCATTAATTACTCATGTGCAAGTTCAAATGAGGCTAAAGAAGTTTGAAACAAGTACACAGAACCAAAATAAGACCTTGAATTTATCCCACTTGAATTTAAGTATCATCTTCCAAATAAGACTGAGGCATTAAACACTAGTAATCAAAGACCAGATACGTTATGGGATGACATCACAGACAACCCATGAAGAGAGGAGAAGACTCTTACAATGAAAGAGAATCTGAAAATTGCATTAACTTATCAAGAAGCCAAAACAGAGGGGAGAAACACAGAAGTAAAAGGGATGGACTGAAAATTTCAAAGGGCAACTCGAGAAGATAAAGTATTATAATGGACTGTGCAAAGAACTAGAACTGGAAATAAAAAGGGAAGAACTTACTTGCCATGTTTCAAGCAGAAAGAACTGAAAAACAAATTCCAGCCTCAAGTTAACAACACTGAGAGATGCTATGGACCAATTCTTTTTTTTCTTTGGTGAGAAAATTTATATTTAGAACTAGCCAGCTGGCCTTAGTTTAGATGATCCTAATTTTTTTGGCAACATCTAAAACATCATAGTCAGGAGCAAGTCAAACATAGGCCTTCTTTTCTCCATCAGGCCAAATCAAGGTGTTGTCTTTGCTACATCAATGTTATAGAGATTCTTTCAGCTTATTTGATTAGGTGCTTGTTGGCATTGATATCCACAATAAACACAAGTGTGTTACTATCTTCTGTCTTCTCATGACTGACCAGTGGTCAGGGGAAACTTGATAATGGCATGGTAGTCAAGCTTGTTTCTCCTGGGATGCTCTTCTGGGAGTATTTGGGCTACCTTTGGAAGTCTTAGCATCTTAGGTCCCTGGAAGGAGGGTGACATGGGAACCTTTTTTTTTGTAGCTGTGGATGCTCTTCAGGACTGCCTCTTAATGCCTTTTCTTTGGCTTCAGTTTTGAGAAGGTCAGGGGTTTTCTTTGCTCTCAGTGCAAAGAAAGAGCTGGACCAATTCTTAAATGATCTAGCAAGCATCAAAAGAAGAAGAAGGTGGAAGGACTATATAGAGTCACTATATCAGAAGGAATTGGCTGACACAGAAGAATTTCATGAAATAGCATATAAGCAAGAGCCTGTGGTGATGAGGGAAGAAGTAAAAGCTACTCTGAAAGAATTGGCAAAAAAAACCCACACACACGCAAAAAAACCAAAAAACGAGGCTCCAGGAATTGATGGCATGCCAGTTGACATATTTCAATAAACATCTGCTGCCCTGCCAAGAAATCTGAAGGACAACCATCTGGCCAGCTGATGGGAAGAGATCTACACTTGTTCCCATTCAAAAAAAAAAGGTGACCCGACAGTGTGGAAATTATCAAACAAAATCATTAATATCACATGCAAGCAAGATTCTTTGGAAAATTATCCAAAAATGATATAAGCAGTACATCAGCAGAGAACTGCCAAATGTGCAGGCTGGGTTTAGAGGAGGTTGTGATACTAGGAATATGATAGCTAATGTTAGATGGATCTTGGCTGAAAGCAGGAGTACCAGAGGAATGTCTTTTTTTTTTTAATTGACTGTGTAAAGATGTTTGACTGTGTGGATCACAACAGACTGTGCCTGACTCTGAGAAGAATGGGAATCCCAGAACACTTGATTGTGCTTATGCAGAACCTATACTTGGACCAGGAGGCAGTCATCAGAACAGAGCAATGAGACACTGGATGTCTTTAGAATCGGGAAAAAAGGGTGTAAGCCAGAGATGTATTATGTCTCCATACCTTTTTAATCTATATGCAGAACAGATCATCTGGAAGGCTAGGCTGTATGAGAAGGAATGTGACATCAAGATTGGAGGAAGATTCATCAGCAGTCTGTGTTATGCAGATGATAGAACCCTGCTTGCTGAAACTGAGGAGGACCTGAAACGCTTGCTGCAGAAGGTCAAGGACTGCAGTCTTCAATATGGATTGAGGCTCAACGTCAAATAAACAAAAGATTCTCAACACTGGCCCAATTGGTAACATCATGATGGATGGTGAAGAGATTATTGAGATTATTAACAGCTTTAGTCAGCTTGGCTCCAAAGTCAACACTCTTGGTACCAGCAGCCAGGAGATAAAAAGATGAATTGCATTGAGAAAGTCTGCTGTCAGGGACCTCATCATAGTATCGAAGAGCAACAACTTCAGTCTAGAGACTAAGATGTGTCTGATCTAGGTCATAATCTTTGCGGTTGCCTGTTATGCTTCAGAGAACTGAACAGTGACATGGGATGATAGAAAGAGAATTGATACCTTTGGGCTGTGGTGCTGGAAAAGAATGTTGAATATACCATGGACTGCCAGGAGAACAAATAGTTTCGTCCTAGAGAGGGTGAAGCCAGGCTACTCCTTGGAGCCAAGAATTCTGAGGCTTCATTTGACAAACATACTTTGGGCATGTTGCTAGGAGGGACTGGTCCTTCGAGAGGGACATCGTGCTTGGAAGGGTAGAGGGACAGAGAAAGAGAGGGAGATCATTGATGAAATGGATTGATACAGTGACTGAGGTAATGATAGTAGGTGTGTTGGGGACTGTAAAGCTGGCACAAGGTAGAGCAGGTTTCAGGGCTACTGTACATAGGGTCGCTATGAGTTGCAAGTGACTAGACAGCACATAAACAACAAAAACAGACCAAGAGGTGGTTGTCTAAACAGAGCAAGGGAACACTTTTGTCGTCGTCGTTATGTGCCATCAAGTCGTCGTAGGCAACTTATAGCGACCCTGTGAACGAAAAGTCCTCAACACTTGTGTGACTTTCATCCTTTCTCCAGGTTCATAGGGTTTCCGGAGGCAAGCTATTGCAGAAGTGGATGCCACTCCTGCTTCCAAGCTTGTTTTAATCAGGGAGCTCCACCAGACACTGTCCACCATGGGTAACCATTAATGCATTTGACACATCGGTGTCACAGTGTTCAGCTTCACAGCAACCACAGGTTACCACTGTATGGCAAGTGGACACACCAGAGCTATACGACGTAGACGAATGTTTGAACAAAAACAATGAAAAACAGGCCTGAGGGCCACGGATTAGAAGTCTTTCACCTTTGGCTTGGTAGCATCACTTTCTCTCCACTAGGCCAACTGATCTCTATGTTGGCGTTATTGTTAAATGCTGTCGAGTCATAGGCGACTCATAGCGACCCTATGAACGAAAGTCCTCAACAGTTGTGTGACATTCATCCTTTCTCTAGGTTCATGGGGTTTCTGGAGGCAAGCTATAAGGGAAGTGGATGCTACTCCTGCTTCCAAGCTTGTTTTAATCGGAGAGTGCCACCAAACACTGTCCGCCATGGGTAACCATTAACGCCACAGTATTCAGCTTCACAGCCACCACAAGTGGACACACCAGGGCTATGCAACTTAAAAGAATGTTTGAACAAAAACAGTGAAAAACAGGCTTGAGGGAGCACTATACAAGGTTTAAAATCAAGAAATCAAGTCTGAATGCTGAATAAATCATTTGAGAAATCAGACTTAATGAAGAATGTGTCATCAGGATCAGAGGACGTGCATCAACAGCCTGTATTATACAGACGATGCATCCTTGCTCACTGAAAGTGAACAGGGCTTGAAGTGCTTGCCATAGCAAAAGAACTTTGGCCTTCCAAATGGACTGAATTTCACCATCAAGAAAACAAAAATCCTCACCACTGGGGCATTAAATAGCATCATGAAAGATGGAGAAGAGATTGAAGTTGTCAGTGATTTCAGCTTATTTGAATCAACAGTCAACACTTTTGGTACCAGGAGTCTAGAAATCAAAAAGTTTCACTGGGAAAATCTGATGGCAGAGACCTCTCCAGAGTACTAAAGAGCAGGGATGTCAGTTTAAAGATTTACATGCACTTCATTCAGGCCATGATCTCAGTCTCCTGCCCAACTCATCAGAGTTGGACAGGGAATAAGAATGCAAGAGTTGTAGTTTTGGAGAAGAGTATTAAATATCCCATGAACTATCAAGAGAACAACCAGAGTGCCTGGGAAGCAAGGATTGTGAAACTTTGTCTCACATACTACTTTGAATGTATTATTAGGAGAGACCAGTCCTTAGAAAAAGACATCATACTTGACAGAGAGGAAGAGAGGAAGGCCTTCAAGAGGGATTGGCACAGTGTCTAAACCGTGAACGCAAATGTTTTAAAGATGGGGTGGATAGCACAGGATAAGGCTAAAATGGATTAAATGCATTGTTAAAATGCATTGTTGGTTCATAGATCACTATGACTCACAGTCAGTGCAAAGGCAAATAGTAACAACAACAAAGTATAATTAATGAGAATTTTGAAACATTGTGGAAAAAATATAATTATTGTGTCTGAACAGTATGTGTAGTCATTATTAAATGAGAACCTAACTTACATAAATTATAAAAATATAGTGAACCTTTTTTTTTTAAAAAAAGTGTGTTCCAGACAATGATTTGGCTTAACTAGTGTAAAAAATACAAGGAGTTGGAAACAACCTAAATGCCCATCAACAAACGAATGGGTAGAGAAGCTGTGGTATATTCACACAATGGAATACTATGCTGCATTGAAAAACAAGGGACTCATGCAATATTATTCAAAATGGGTGAACCTGGAGGACATTATGCTGAGTGAGGTATCTCAGTCACAAAGGGACAAATGCTATATGGTGCCACTGTTGTAGAATGAGGCTGGCATTGGGGTGGGGGTAAGACTGAGAAAAGCTGGATGAAATATGTTTACGGCATTGAAGTCTATGGGGGAGAGAATAGTCTAAAAGTATTATATTTTAGGGCATTCTTTTTATTGTAGGAGTACGCAATGAGGGTTGCAGAGTGGATTATATTTGGGGGTAGGGGGTGGGGTTTGGGGAGGTGCGGGGGAATTGTGTACCAATGAAGGAGTTTTTATTTTGCTTTTCAAGGAGAGGAGCGGGGGAGGGGTTTGTGCTGGGAGAAAGGTGCAACAGTGAATGAATGGAAATGAAAAATAAACAAACTAAATTAAAATTTTTTAAAAAAAGGATATATGATTAGATATTATTATGACAGGAGTCAAGAATGAAGGTAGCATAGTGGAGTGGACTTGGGGGGAAGGATTGTACAACAATGAAAGAATTTTTTTTTACTTTTCAAAAAGAAAAGTGAATTGGGGGGAAGGGTGAAAGGGTGAGCAGGGAGAAAAGTGCAACAATGAATGAATGGAAATCCAAAGTCCCTGTAAACTTTCATTAAAATAAAATTTTTTAAAAAGAAAAAAAAATACATGCCTTGAGCATGGTACTCTTTCAAGATCTGTTTATATGGGGTCACATCAATAACAATGACTTGAAAGATTACATAGGAAGCTTGAGTTTATATCAAGTTGGGGATGAACAACTCACAAAAGGAGGTGAGAAAGTTGTACAACCTGAAAAATGTGATTCATGTCATTGATTTATACCTATGGAAACTGTTGAATTGATAAAAGTTTTATATACTCAACAACAATAAAACAAAAAGGGTTTTTTTTAAAAAAAGAGGTATGTTCTGCTTTATTTGCTTGTCAACAGTGTATGGAATCCCCTGGTTCTTGTCTGATAGGCAAAAAAATGATCTAATTTTTGTTTAATCTCATTTTGTTATATAATTTATTGTCTATAATATACTTTTGTTGTTGTTGTTGTTGTTATGTGCCGTCTAGTCGCCTGCGACTCATAGCGATCCTATGAACAACAGCCCTAAACTCTGTCTTGTGCCAATCGCACTGTCTCTGACACTCCCATCCTGATTAACCCAGTCACTGAATCAATCCACCTCATAGAGGGCCTTCCCCTCCTGCGCTGTCCCTCCACCCTCCCCAGCATGATGTCCTTCTCCAAGGACCAGTCTCTTCTTACAGCATGTCCAAAGTATGTTAGAGCCTCAGGATCCTTGCCTCCAAAGAGCCACCTGGTTTAACCCTTTCCAGGATGAATCTGTTTTCCTAGCAGTCCATGGTACTATCAATACTCTTCTCCAGCACCACAGCTCAAAGGCATCAGTTCTCCTTCTGTCCTCCTTGGTCATTGTCCGACTCTGTGATGCATAACAAGTGATTGCAAAGACCATGGCCTGTATCAGACGCACTTTAGTCTCCAGAGAGACATCATTGCTCTTCAGTACTTTGGAGAGGTCCCTAACAGCAGACTTTCCCATGGAACCATTAATTTGGAATATATTTATTTGAAATTGGAGTTTTAAAAGTTTAGAGTTGAAATTTAGCTTGAAAAATGAGATTGTTCATTCAGTTTGAAAAACCAGTTGTGTATTAAAAGACATTGCTTATAAACAATTTGTGTTCAACTGGCACAGAAGATTCTGAGAGAGTCTAAGGAGAAAGTGTTGCCTGAAAATCAGTGTTGTATTTGGCTAAAAGTAGAAAATAAATTAACCCGAGTGGTGTGTGTGATAAAATACATGTTTAATTGGCTTCAGTTGGTTGTATACTCTTATAAAATACTTATTTTCTAGAAAATCAGGACAATACTGAAAATATATTTAAATTAAAAATATATTTTCTAGAAATTATGTTTTGGTATGTTATCCTACTCTCTGTTTATTTTATTTTAACAAATTTGGAACCTACTGTATACACAGTCCTGGGTTTTTTCCCCACTTGGTGTAATAGCTTGTTTTTTCATGTCTTTTATTTTTTTATTTTTTTTTGTGTGTGTGTACTGTCAACTTGGATCTGACTAGTACAGGAGGTGATTGTTTCTCCTTCTCAGCAGAGCATTTGGTGGATTCGCACTGCATACCTCTGGAATTGCTATGCAGCTTCTTGCCACTAGGCCACCAGAACTCACCTCATATCTTTTTTAATATCTTATGTTTTATCTGTTAGATTTAACCATTCTGCTTTCTAGTAGATTGTTTTCATAATGCTGAATTTTAACACATACCTTGATAAATATATCAATCCTGAACCACAGTAATGATAGATTTAAAACCCTTTTAATTAAGGTTATTTGAAGAAATTGAAGCAATTCATGTAGCTGAACTTAAGCACTGTCATTTAAACTTAAGGTCACCTCTGTCAAGTCAGTTCTGACCAACAGTGACCTTCTATTAGGCGTCCAAGACAGTAAATTTTAAAAAAGAGACTTCTCTTTTCCCCAGAAAGTTTCTGGTTGATTCAAATCAGAGGAGAAGTACAGCCTTTGAGTTAGCTGTGTAACTTCATACAGTCTATGCCTAAATACTGTTAACACTCTTAGCTGGTAAACAGAAAGTATGAGTTCACCTTGAAGTACCTCAGAAGAAAAGCTTGTAAAGCTCAGCTCTGTTTAGATACGTTCTTGGTTGCCTTGAGTCAGGATTGACTTGATAGAAACTGGTTTTATTTTGGATTTTTGAAAATAAAAACAGAACCAGTGCAAATCAAAAAACTTCTCCAATAGGATAAGAAGGAAACCCACAGACTGGGAAAAAATATTTGACAATGACATATCTGATCAAGGGACTGATAAATAAACTTTACACCTCAATGAGAAAAAGGTAAACATTCCAATCACAAAATGGGCACAGGACACTTCACCAAAGATGACATTAAGATAGCAAATAAACACATAAAGGACTATTTAAAATCCCTAGCTATAGGAGAGATGCTAATAAAAACCACTATCAGATATCATCACACCCCGGCAACAATAGCAAAGTTCAACAGGCCAGCAAACAAGAAATACTGATTTAAGTTGTGGAGAGATTGGAACCCTTATTATTCACTGCTGGTAGGAATGTAAGATGGTACTGCAGGCTGGTGCTGTCTCAAAAAGTTAGAAATAGAAGTACCATTTGACCCAGCAATTCCACTACTAGGAATATACCCTAAAGAAACCAGAGCAGTTATTTAAACATATGTGCACCCCTGTGTTTATTGCTGCGTGATTCACAATAGCAAAGATATGGAAGCAACCGAAATGCCCATCAACAAACGAATGGATAGAAAAACTATTGTATATTCCCACAGTGGAAAATAATGAACTTGTAAAACATTACACAATATGGGAGAGCCTTGAGGACATTATGCTGAGTGAGATATGGACAAATCAGTGACAAAAGGACAAATAATGCATTAACACCACTGTTATAAAATCAGACCGACCTGGAGGAGTTGGGAAGATAATGGGGAAAGAGTGGATAGATAATGACCACTGCATTAGACAGATGAGGGTAAAAATTGTCTGAAGGGAATATATGATTACTATGATATGTATGACAAAAATCTTGGACAAAGTGTGCATTGCCAGACAAGGTGGGACGGAGAAAATGTGCAAAAATGAATAATTAAAAAAAAATTTAACTAAGAACAAACCACCTTCACTATATTAGTTTCAACTCATAGTGATCATCTGTTGGATTTCCTAGGCTATAATGAGAGAGAGAGAGAGAGAGTGGGTGTGTGTGTGTGTGCGCGCGCGCGCGCGCGCGCACGCCCAGATCTTACTGCTACAGAAGGCAATTGTCCCTCCTTCTCCACCTCCTGGTGGATTCGAACTGCAGTATAGACTGTAAATCTTTAAATAAGGAAACTGCATGTCTTTCTCCCTCAGTGCTACTGGTAGATTGGAATTGCTGTTCTTTTATTAACATAACATACTATGTCACCAGGACTCCTTTTATTTCATATGTGCTTCAGAATTAACATCAATGAGTAAATGCCTTAATAAAACACAATTTAATTTTTATTAGAAATTTGAAGGCTGCAATTAGCATAAACTGCTTAGTTGACATAGTAAACTTCTTGCTGTGTAATAGCATATTACATGGCATCAAGAATGCCTCTGAGTGAGATCACTCTGATAGATAAATTGTTTTTTTTTCTCCTGTTAACAGCAGACTAGGAAGTATTGAAGTGTTCAGCCTGTCTCCTGTAAAAGATTTTGTATGTAATGAAAATAGTTAGATAGGTTTGTATTTTGCAAAAATGCAACATAGACTGTAATTGTTCTCACAATCTTTATAATTTCCTATATCTCTTTCCATTTTCCTGTGTTGTCTTCTGTCTTCTTTCCAGCATTTCATTCTTTCTTTATCAAACTCATTGCATTTGAGTAGGATCTGACTCATAGCTAACCTCCTAGCAGGTTTTCAAAGACTGAATTCCACAGGAAGATATATGGCCTTTATTTCTCCTATGGAACAGTCAGTGGTTTATAGTTCCGCTTTTGAGAGTTTTTTGCTCAGTGTACAGATTGAATAAGTATTATGAAAGTACACAACCTTGACACACACCTTTCCTGCTTTTAAATGAGACTGTATCCCCCATTTGCTCAAATGATTGCCTCGTATGTATAGGTTCCTCTTGAGCACTAGTTAATGTTATGTAATTGCAGTTCTTTTCAGTGTCAACAGTTTGTTGACAATTATGCAGATGACACAGCCTTCTTATAGAAAGTGAAGAAGACTTGAAGCACTTCTGAAGATCAGAGACTACAGATTTCTGTGTCTACATCAAAATTTCTCAATATTTTAAAAACCCCGAAATCTTAACTGCTTGACCAATACACAGTATTATGATAGAGAAAATATTTAAATTGTCAACAATGTCATTTTATTTGAATCCCATGGTGATAGCAGTTAAATCAAAAGACATGTTACACTTGGGAAGTCTGCTGTTAAGGACATCTCCAGAGTTCTAAAGAGCAAGGATATATCAGTTTAAAAATGAAGGTGAAAAAGGAAAAAATACGAAGGTGAGCCTAATCCATACCACAGTATTTTCATCTGCTTCCTGTGTATTTGAATATTTGATAATGAATAAGGAAAAATTGATGCCTTTGAATTGTGTTGTTGAAGAGTTTTGACATGGACAAAGTCTTGGAGGAAGTGCAATCAGATTGCTCCTTACAGGCAAGGATGGTGAAACTGCATGCCACATACTTGGGCATATTTTAAGAATGGGCCAATCCTTGAAAAAAGACAGCTTGCTAGGAAAAGTAGAGGGTCAGTAAAAGAGAAAACACCGCAAGATAAATCACAAAGTGACTCTCACAGTAGGCTTGAGTATGGCAGATTGTGATGATGGTGCAAGATAGGGCAAAGTTCTGTTCACAGAGTCGGAATGAGTCATAGCTGACTCTATAGCACCTAATAATAACATACTTTTGCATAGGAGAGCTCTGGTGATATAGTCTGTAGAAAGTTGTACTGCTTACCCAAAGACAGAGCCATGCTAGAGATTTTAATTCATCAGCAGCTCTGCAGAAGAATCTCCTCCAGTGCAATTTACAACTTAAAAAAATCCACTGGAGGTCTTTTTTTCCTGATTTAATGAATGTCATCCTGTTCTTGTCTCTTTGAGAAAATCTTTCCTCCTTGCCTTAAACTGTCTTTCTGCCAGTGGCTTTTTTAAGGAACCAGGCCTAGGAACCTCTTAGAATGCTTAACAGGGTATTACTCTTGCTTGCTTAAATTTTTTTTTTCGTGCTAGCTTATAAAAAGAAAAAACAACCCAAATGTAGGGTCAGCTTTGAGTTGATTCTGATTCAGTGGCAGGAAATATTTGTTATGCCTTTGCATACACAATAAAACACAGGTAAATATCTTTTTTAATATCTACATTCAGTCAAGATCATTAATGTTATCCTTTGATCAGTGTTCTGAATCCAACCTGAATTTCTGGCAGTTGTACTGCTATAATAATTTTTTAATTATGTACTTAAATAAAACATTTTCATTATAAGCAAAATTTTACTTATGATGTTAATGCTGTTGTTTCATAATTTCCACATTCTTTTGGATCTCCTTTCTTTGGAATGGTCACAAATATTATTCTTTTCCACTGGGTTGACCAGGTAGCTGTCTTTCAGATTTATTGATTTAGACAAATGAGTATTTCCAGCATTGCATCTCAGTTGATAGTCTGTCAATTCCTAAAGCCTTGTCTTTTGCTAATTCCTTCAGTTTTGATTCCTTCAGTACAATTTGTTTGTAATCATATGTTAACTTCTGAAATGATTAAATATTGACTGAGTCTTTTGTACAGTGACTCTGTGTATTTATTCCATCTTCTGATGCTTCCTGCCCATAAACTGCTTCAACATTGCAACTAAAAAATATATTATAACTCAAA